GTTCATCGGTTTGGAAGGTTGTAGCCGACCTTGTAAATAGCTGGTTGTCGCCCTGTTGATGGTCTGAAGTGGAGTCAGATGTTTCTGTAATTACTAATTACGTTGCTACTTCAGTTTGTGTTGTCGATCATGATCAGAGTCGCGTACTCCATTTTCATCTGAACTTTGCTAACTGCGTTCGGGCTGTTGAACCAGAGGTAGAATTAGGCGGAGAATCACAAGAAGTGACTACTCAGTACTCACCAATCGGCCGTCGTTATTTTCCGACTCAAAGGGAAATGTTAACCTGTCGTTTCTTAGCTTTGGCCGGACTTCAAATTATTGGCAACCCAGCAGTAGCTGCCATTTTGAGTCCGGTGACTTTCCAAAGGGGTTGGTTGAAGTTCATTAGTAGTGAGATTTAAAATGACAAGTGGAACTATCCTAGATATTTAGCACACCAGTAGTGAGATATACAATGATAAAGATAACAATCCTGGATAAGCTAGGTTAATTAGATATATCAGCAATCCAACTACATCTGACCTTAAGTAAAGTTGTCACTAAAATAGTCCCAATTGACACAGCGCTATCACCCATCAACTTTACCACGGCGCCAATCCATGTGATATTTGTTTGTCTGTGCCTCCCCAAAGTCAAGTAAACTGCTTCTCCTAGCTAGGGAGTACTAATTTTGAAGTTGGCATCAGTGTGCACGATATTTCCAAACGTGAGATGGACCATAGAGAAATTTGAGAAAATCACACGTTTCGTCCACCAAGTCTCTGGCGCACTATAATTTGGTCCCGCAAGTTGAGAAACACCACAATACGATTCTATACATGTGAATACGGTCGCGGACCATATCGTCCGGCCATCTCAAACAACCTTCATCCAAGAAAGAAATATACTCAATGAAGTAGTAATCCTATATGAGACCATGTATGAGAGGCACCGGAAAAATATCAGTGGAGTAATTTTTATTAGGATTGACTTTGAAAAGGATAAGGTCAAATGGTCATTCCTTCGACGCCCAAAGGATTCTCCATAAACGGCATCAATGGATCCAAGGTTTTTTTGCTGGAGGTAGTGTCGCTGTAAAAGTCCATGATGACGTAGGCCATTATTTTCAGACAAAAAAAAAAGGATTACGTCAGGGTGACCCCATGTCTCCAATGTTATTTAACATTTTACTGATATGTTGTCTATTCTGGTTGATCACGCCGAGCAGGATTGTCAGATTGCAGGAGTAGTAATACAGCTTGTGGATGATGGCCTCTCTATTCTGCAATATGCCGATGATACGATTCTTTTTATGGAACATGGCATGGACAAGGCTCGAAACTTAAAACTCTTGCTTTCAATATTTGAGTGAATGTCGGTCAAAATTAACTTTCATAAAAGTAAATTATGCTTTGGAGAAGACAAAGAGGCGGCAATTGATTACGCTGACTTGTTTGGCTATGCGCAAGGCCCTGTTAAATATTTGGAAATTACGATTCATTATCGTGTCTCACTAATGTGGAGTGTAAATATATAGAGGAGTGTTTAGAGAAACGGTTGAACAGTTGGTAAGGCAAATTGCTCTTTGTTGCAAGATGATTGATCTTGATCAATTCTATCCTCACAAATATGGTTCTGTATATGCTTTCTTTTATCCAACTCCCAAAAAGGCTCTTACAATGGCTGCCTTATTCCAGATCCAGATTCTTTTTGAAATGAAATAGTGAAAAGAAAAGGTATAAACTAGCAAATGGATCGTGGTTTGTAGGCCGAAATATCAAGAAGGCCTTGGCATTCATGACATGTAGGTCTAGAACAATCCTGGCTGCGTAATAAGTATCTGGACAAAAAAGTTGTCTCTCGGGCCTATTGGAAACCTGGCGACTCACACATTTGTGTTGGGCTAATGACGAGAAAGAAACATCTTTTTTGTTTTGGATCTTTTACGATAAAATATGGGTCAGAGATTCATTTCTGGGAGGACAAATGACTAGGCAATGCGAGCCTCCGAGAATAATATCTAACTTTGTATCTCATTATTGGCCATAAGAATGATACTCTTGCGCATGTGATCAGCTCATCCCTGCCAGATATTGCTTTCTCGTGGGATCTGATTGGCCCTCGTCTTATGTCATGGAAAAAATCTTTTATCCAGATTGGAGTCGATTAACTTGACACAAAGATGAAATAAGATTCACTGGAGTGTTACTACATCTGGATCCTTCACAGTCGACTCGATATATAGTGCACTCACGCATTTAGAGGTTCCAGTGGATAATAACATGAAAATTTGGAACTCCAAGATTGCACTAAAAGTTAAAATCTTCATGTGGTATCTTCAGAGGGGAGTTCTGCTAACCAAAAGCAACTTCGTCTACCGCAACTGGCAATGAAGCAAGAAGTGTAGTTTTTGTGCTCATGACGAGACAATTAGACACCTCTTTTTTCAGTGCAAGTTTGCACATTTTACATGGCCAATCATCTAAGTAGCGTCTAATTTGTATCCGCCTGCAAGTTTTGCCAATATTTTTGGTCGTTGGTTGGACGGTATCCCAAATAGGTTAAAAGCACTAATAAGGATGGGAGGGTATGCTTGTTATGGTTGCTTTGGCTATGTAGAAATGATTTGGTTTTTGATAGCAAAAGTTGCTCTCCTTTGTAGGTTAGTTTCTGTTGTACGCACTCGCTTCATATGTTGTCTATGCTACACCTAATGGAGTGCCAATCGTTGTTCAAGGTGGTGTGTATGCGGTTGGAGCGTGTGGCCATGGAGGTTTTGACCAAACATGGGTGGCAGCATAATCTTCGGATCGGTTCATCACCTCCTTCAACATAGGCATAGTGTCGGTCATACGAGTCTTCTGTTACTGATATGTTCGTTCTTTATTTTATTTTTGTCAGACTATTCAAGTTGGCTGTGTGCATCTTAGATATGCAGAGGTCGGGCGTTGCTCATTATGCTTTGTATCCACTTGATGCTACATTTTGAGTTAATAAATGCACCCTTTATCGAAAAAATACATGTGAATATGTAACCCTCTATGGTTCCTTTACATAACACTCTACGGTCCCTCATTCTGGTGCCACCACATACCCCCTCTGGAGCGTGCCAATCTATTTTTCCGGTCACACCCCTGCCGTTTATGGATAATAACCCGCACTCCACACCAGATCTGTTGAAGTCCGAAAACCCCAATCCCCACCCCGACCGTCTTAAATCCCCACTTACTCTTCCCAATCCCCTCTCCAAATCTGTGGATGGCAAGAGCGTCGAGGACGGTCACGAGATCTTTGTTGTCGTTGCCCCTCTAGCAGAGTCGGTGCGCGCTGCCGTTGCCCCTCCAGCAAAGCCAGTGTGCGCTGGTGGACAAAGTCGTGTGAACCTGCATTGGTAGGCTTGGAGGAAGTTCATGGAGGAGGTGTGGGAGCTCGAGTAGCCAGAACTCCGGCCGGGTTTCGGCTATGTTCTCCTCCAACGCACGCTTGGGATGGATGTGTTGGAGGTTGATACGTCTATGTCGTATCTATAAATTTTGATTGTTTCATGCTATTATATTATTAATATTATATAATTTATATGCCATTTTATATCATTTTTGGGAACTAACCAATTAACCTAGTGCCAGTTGTTGTTTTCTGCTTGTTTTTAGTTTTACAGAAAATCCCTACCAAACATAGTCCAAATGCTACGAAACTTTTTGACGATTTTTTCCGGACCAGGAGGGGTCCTACAAGCTTCGGGGAAGGACCAAAAGCCAGACAAGGAGAGTATAAGACAACATGGCGCACTCTAGGGAGTAGGTGTCCCCTAATGTCTTGTGGGCTCCTCGTGGCCCTTCTGACCTAATTCTAGTGCTATAAATTTCCAAATATTCCAAAACCAACAGAGGAAGCCACGATACAATTCTTTCACTGCTGCAAGCCTATGTTCTTTAACGATCCCATCTGGAGGCCGTTTCTAGTAATTTGTCGGCGGGGGAATTGATCACCGAGGCCTTCTTCATCAACCTTGTTGCCTCCATGATGATGTGTGAGTAGTTCCCCACATGACCTAAGGGTCCTTAGCAGTAGCTAGATGTCTCCCTCTCTTGTTTTGATCTTCAATACAATGTTCTCTTTGGAGATCAATTTGATGTAATATTTAGTGATGCGTTTGTCGGGATCTGATGAATTGTGGATTTATGATCAGACTGATCATTGAAAGTAATTTAGTTATTTGTAAGCTTTAATATGTGTGATTTTTATAGCTTTGTATTTCTCTCCGATCTATCCGTTTGGTTTGGCCAACTAGATTAATTTATCTTTAGTGAGGCGTGTGTTCGGATTGTTGCTACTAAGGGTAAAACGATGGGTTTTGATCATATTGGGTGGTCCTATTCTGTCTACATTATCATAGTTCATGCATTACTCTGTTTGTCATGAACTTAATATGTAAAGAGGCAAGCATAGAAGCGTTATCGAAGTGGGATAATAGTAGTAGATGCAGAATTGTTTCAGTCTACTTGTCACGGACGTAATGGCTATGTACTTATCATGCCATGAATAACATTATAACTGTGTGTTTTTATATCAATTGCCCAATAGTAATTTGTGTACCTACTGTTTGCTATGTTCTTGAGAGAGATGCCTCTAGTGAAATCTATGCCCCCCAAGTGTATTTAAATCATATTGCTAAAACCCTAAATACCTTGCTGCAATTTACTTACATTTATTTAGTTTTCACATTTATATATCTCCCACTATCAGGATTAAGCCTTGCAATTGACGACTACAAGGGGATTGACAACCCCTTTTGCCTGCGTTGGGTGCAAGTATTTGCTATGTGTGTAGGTACTCCTAGAGGTCGTTTGTGTGGATCTCCTATTGGTTTGGTAAACCTTGGTTCTTAACTGAGGGAAATACTTTCTGCTACTATACTATTTCACCCTTACTCTTTGGGGAAATCCCAATGCAATCATAAGTACCAGAAGGAATTTCTGGAGGTATTCCTAGGGAAACTTCATCAAACAAATAAGGTACCTACACACATACACACCTTATTTGCTTGCTTTACTTATGTTCTCTTTCATGTTGACTCAAGAAAATAAAATTAAAGCAAAAAAGACATGGATCCTCATCCACTTGGTAATCTTTTCAAACTTATTGCTTATTGTAAACCAATAGCTAAAAATAAAGAAGTTATAAAAGAAAATGCTATTGGGACGCATTTATTGAATGAAAAGCATGATTGCAATGTTGTTAGTGTGAATTCCATGAAAGTCAATTGTGCTAATGATCATTATTGTGGTGACGGTCATAATGCTATTAATATTAAAAGTGGGTTTGGAGAGGTCATGACTTTAGTTGATATTAATCCCACTATCTTGGAAAATTATAAAACTTGCATGCATGTGGATCATGGAGTGAATATTTTATATGATAGCTATATTGTTGAATTTGATTGTGATCCTACATGTAATTATTTTTAGAGAGGAAATGATGGTATATATCTTCATGTTACTCAATTACCTATCTTGATGTTGAATTTATTAATGCCTCCTCCTTCTTTCTTGCATATGCTAAATATTGCTTGGTTTGATAATTTGTTTAATTATGAAATTCCTATGCATAGGAAGTGGGTTATAATTAGATATGCCAACTACATGCTATATGATGCTCTCTTTGTGCTTCAATTATTGTCTTTTATGTGAGCATCATAGAAATCTCAAGCCTATCTTAATGGTTACAAAGAAAGAGCTTGTTGGGAGACAACCCAATAGTTACCTTTACTTTTATTTTTTGTTTTTATTGCTACTATAATGATTGTGCTTTTTTCTTTTAATAAGTGTTTGTGCCAAGTAAAGCCTTTGGGATGATTTAGATGATAGTAGAATTGATGATGTGCAAAGCAAAAATCTTTGCGCCCAGTGCTTGAATTATGATTTTTACTGGAACATGAATCAATTGCTGAAACCTTTACATAATATTGATATACATATTATTTATGTTGTCCATTTCAGAATTTTTGTAGTTACAGAAGTATGGATAAATATAACATCATTACTGAAGGAAATATGTCCTAGAGGCAATAATAAATTTGTTATTCATATTTCCTTATATCATGATAAATGTTTATTTTTCATGCTAGAATTGTATTAACCGGAAACTTAGTACATGTGTGAATACATAGTATACAGAGTGTCCCTAGTATCCCTCTACTTGACTAGCTCGTTAATCAAAGATGGTTAAGTTTCCTAGCCATGGACATGTGTTGTCATTTGATGAATGGGATCACATCATTAGAGAATGATGTGATGGACAAGACCCATCCGTTAGCTTAGCATAATGATCGTTCAGTTTTATTGCTACTGCTTTCTTCATAACTTATACATGTTCCTCTGACTATGAGATTATGCAACTCCCGAATACAGGAGGAACACCTTGTGTGTTATCAAACATCATAACGTAACTGGGTGATTATAAAGATGCTCTACAGGTGTCTCCGATGGTGTTTGTAGAGTTGGCATAGATCGAGATTAGGATTTATCACTCCGTGTATCGAAGAGGTATCTCTGGGCCCTCTCGGTAAAGCACATCACTATAAGACTTGCAAGCAATGTGACTAATGAGTTAGTTGCGGGATGATGCATTACGGAACGAGTAAAGAGACTTTTCGGTAACAAGATTGAACTAGGTATTGAGATACCGACGATCGAATCTCGGGCAAGTAACATACCGATGACAAAGGGAACAACGTATGTTGTTATGCGGTTTGACCGATAAAGATCTTCATAGAATATATAGGAACCAATATGAGCATCCAGGTTCCGCTATTGGTTATTGACCGGAGATGAGTCTCGGTCATTTATACATAGTTCTCGAACCAGTAGGGTCTGCACGCTTAACATTCTGTGACGATTTGTACTATGAGTTATGTGATTTGATGAACAAAGTTTGTTCGGAGTCCCAGATGAGATCGGGGACATGATGAGGAGTCTCGAAATGGTCGAGATGTAAAGATCGATATATTGGAAGGCTTATATTCGGACATCGGAAAGTTTCCGAGTGATTAACGTATTTTTCGGAGTACCGGAGAGTTACGGGAATTCGTATTGGGCCTTAATGGGCCATACGGGAAAGGAGAGAAAGGCTTCAAGGTTGGCTGTGCCCCTTCCCCATGGACTGGTCCGAATTGGACTAGGGAAAGGGGGCGTCCCCTTCCTTCCTTCTCCTTCTCCCTTCCCTTTTTCCTATTCCATGTGGGAGGTGGAATCCTACTAGGACCTGGGAGTCCTAGTAGGACTCCACACTTTGGGCGCACCCTATGAGAGCCGGCCTCCTCCTCCCTCCATCCTTTATATACTTGGCCAGGGGGCACCCCATAGACACACAAGTTGATTGTTTCCAGCCGTGTGCGGTGCCCCCTCCACCATAATCCACCTCGGTCATATTGTAGAGGTGCTTAGGCGAAGCCCTGTTTCGGTAGCATCATCATCACCGTCATGCTGATGAAGCTCTCCCTCAACACTTTGCTGGATTGTGAGTTCGTGGAACGTCACCGAGCCGAACGTGTGGAGATCGTGGAGTTGCCGTACTTTCGGTACTAGGATCGGTCAATCGTGAAGACGTACAACTACATCAACCGCGTTGTCATAACGCTTCCACTTACGGTCTACGAGGGTACATAGACAACACTCTCCCCTCTCGTTGCGATGCATCACCATGATCTTGCATGTGCGTAGAATTTTTTTTGAAATTACTGCGCTCCTCCATAGTTCCATCCGAGTCAGGTCTATGCATAGATGTTATATGCACGAGTAGAACACAAAGGGGTTGTGGGCGTGGGTATATACATATTGCTTGCCATCACTAGTTGATTCTTGATACGGCGGTATTGTTGGATGAAGCGGCTTAGACCGACATTACGTGTACGATTACGCGAGACTGGTTCTACCGACGTGCTTCGCACATAGATGGCTAGTGGGTGTTTGTTTCTCCAACTTTAGTTGA